TTTTTTTTTTTTTTTTTTTTAATTAAAAAAAATTTTTTTTTCTTAATTTACATCCAAATTAGTTAGCATATAGTGCAACAGTGATTTCAGGAGTAGATTCCTTAGTGCCCCTTACCCATTTAGCCCATCCCCCCTCCCACACTCCTTCCAGTAACCCTCAGTTTGTTCTCCATATTTATGAGTTTCTTATGTTTTGTCCCCCTCCCTATTTTTATATATTTTTTTGTTTCCCTTCCCTTATGTTCATCATTTTGTCTCTTAAAGTCCTCATATGAGTGAAGTCATATGGTGTTTGTTTTTCTCTAATTTCACTTAGCATAATACCCTCTAGTTTCATCCACGTAGTTGTGAATGGCAAGATTTCATTCTTTTTGATTGCTGAGTAATACTCCACTGTATATATATACCACGTCTTCTTTATCCATTCAGCCATCAATGGACTTTGGGCTCTTTCCATCCTTTGGCTATTGTTGATAGTGCTGCTATAAACATGGGGGTGCATGTGTCCCTTCGAAACAGCATACCTGTATCCCTTGGATAAATACCTAGTAGTGCAATTGCTGGATTGTAGGGTAGTTCTATTTTTAATTTTTTGCTGTTTTCCAGAGTGGCTGCACTAGCTTGCATTCCCATTCCCACCAAGCTTTTTTTTTTTTTTTTTAATTGAGATATAATAATGTTTGGAGGTTTTCAATTAGTGATTCAAACTCAGTTCAGTCTTAGTTCTATGTTTTTAGGAATTTGTCCATTTTGTCTAGATTATCCAATTTGCTGGTATATAATTGTTCATAGTACTCATAATCCCTTTTACTTCTTAGTAATGTCCCCTTGCTCTGATTTTAGTTATTTGGGTCTTCTGTTCTTTTCTTACTCTAGCTAAAGATTTGTTAAATAATTTTGTCTATTTTTTTCAAGGCCCAAATCTTGGTTTCCTGAATTTTTGTTAATTTTAGTTTTCTCTTAACATTATTTCCTTCCCTCTGCTAGCTTCAAGTTTAATTTTTTCTTCATTTCCTAGTTCTTTAAGGTGTAAATTTAGGTTGTTGATTTGGGAACTTTTTTTTTTTTCATGGAAGCATTTAGCTATAAATTTCCCTCTTAACACTGCTTTCACTGCATCCCATTAAGTTTTGATGTGTTTTTAATCTCATTTGTCTCAAGAGCTTTTCTAATTTCCCTTGTGATTTCTTGACTCATTGTTTTTGTGGCTTTTCTAGTTTTCCTTCTGTTGATTTCTAGTTTTATTTCATTGTGATCAGAAAATGTACTGTGTGTGATTTAAGTCTTTTTAAATTTATTGAGACTTGTTTGGTGGCCTAACATAGGATCTGTCCTGGAGAATGTTATGTGTGCCCTTTAGAAAAATGTGTATTCTGTTGTTGGGTGGAATGGTCTTTAATGTCTGTTAGGTCCAGTTAGTCTCTAGTGTTAAGTCATCTACTTCTTTATTGATCTTGTCTGTTTTTTAAATCCATTATTGAAAATGGAATATTATGTCTATATTATTGTGTTGTCATCTGTTTCTCCCTTCAGTTCTGTCCATGTTTGTTTCCACATGTTTAGGAATTCTGGTTTTTGGCGCATGTTTGTAATATATTCTCTGGGTTATATGACCCTTTATTATCATATAATATTCTTGTCTCTTGTAATAGTTTTTGATTTAAAGTCTATTTTGTCTGATATTAGTATATCTGTTGTTTTAGACCATTCATAAGACCTGTTGGGAATAGAGACATGGGATGGTAAAATCCAATTAACATTGTCATTTAGGTGGTGGATATAGGTGAGGACTAGATGTTGAGTGAGCTTGGGTCTCTCTGCCTCAGAGATGAGGCATCACCTTGGTGGATGAGTATGATGGCCCTCTCAGAAGGGTTTGGGCAGGAGGATTCAGTAGAGAGGTATAGGAGGTAGGTGGGGTGTAAGGGGAGAAAGTTTCCTCAAGTTATTTATTATGGAGTATAGTTAAGAGGAATGAGTAAGCTAGTTCCAAAATTAAGATCAAGAAAATTATGCCAACAGACCATCCTTGGTGAGAACAGAGACTTCCTCTTTAATATGTAATCTGGCTTTTTTCAGTACAAGTACTTGAAATGTAAAAGCAAACCTCATGTTAAGATTGAAGGGAAGGACACTGATGACTGGCTGTGTGTGGACTTTGGTAAGTTATTTTGACATATTTTACAGATAAATATTTAGTTTTGTCCTAATCTGGAACTGTGTTCACTTGCAAAAGGGTATCAGATTGTGCTTTTCATGTAAAATTTTTGAGGTTTATATTAAGTTTCAATTATAACCCAGGTGGTCTTATTCGCATGTAAAATTCTCACCTAATGTGATGTGTCTCTAACTAGTCATGCAGGTCAGACAGACAGTGGAGAACTGAGCAGATAACATGGCAGAGATGGGAGAGATCCCTTAGTGGTAGTAGAAGGCTTGGGGAGTACATATCTTGGCCCAGGATGACTCAGATGAGGTCAAGTTAAAGGGCATTCCAGGTACTGAGAAGGACAAGAACAGAGGACTGGAATTTCGAAAAGACCTAACAAATTTGGGTATTAATATATACATAGTTTCAAAGTATTTCCCCCTAAGATACTTAATTACAAAGGGAAAAACACTGTCAAGAATTATGAAGGGTCTGAGATTCTTATTCTTAACTAACAAGTTAGCGGCCCAGTTTCATGGGAATTGGTGAAACTCCAGGCTAGTCCTGGGTTAGAGATGAAGGATGGATGATTTTATTACTCATCACAGTAACAGCCAGTAGTTTTGTTTTTTTTTTTTTTTGGGGGGGGTGGGGGGTGGTGGGCAGGTTCCCTGAGCCCATGTCTATCGAGAGAGCAGCAGCATAGGGCCAGATGACATCTGCAGACAATGTTCTGAGAGAGGAACCTGTAGGTTAGGGTAGCTACATCTTTTATGATGGGCAAGAAACAGACCCGCCATTTGCTGTGATGGAAGACACTTTTTCTGCCAAGGCCATTAAGCCAGGGTTTCTCAGCTTTGTCCTTCATAACATTTTGGACCAGGTGATTCAGGTGGGAGTAGGGACATATACCCTGTGCATTGTAGGATGTTTATTAGTCTCCCTTCTCTCCAGCCCCAACTGTGAAAATCTGAAAGGTCTTTGAGATCCACTGCTGTAAGCAAGCCTGTCCTTTGCTCTAGAGGGAGATGGTATGTTTTTGTGACACTATTCACTGCACAGTCATCCTTAAAAGACCTTCTAGAACAAAAGGCAGTCTGTGTTTTGCTCACAGGATGTGCAGAAATGTGACACCCATGGAGAATTGTCTTCCACTAGCCCACCTTTAATCACTAGGATGAAGTTAATTAACATCACTAGTAATGTTATGTATCGATATCATGTACCTCCTGTATGATGCACGGAGAAAAGCACAGCATCATTTCTATGCTATTTTTGTTGGGATGGCATCCAGAATTTGCATTTCAGGCAAGTTCTCAGCTAATGCTAATCTAGGGCCCATACTTTGACAACCACTATTCTATCATAGAGGTGGGTGAGAGCACAAGAATAAAATGAACTGCTTCTTCGTCTTAACTCTTATCTGTCCTTGATTGATAGGCAGCATGGTGATTCATTTGATGCTTCCAGAAACCAGAGAGACCTATGAATTAGAGAAATTATGGACCCTACGTTCTTATGATGACCAGTTAGCTCAGATAGCACCTGAGACATTACCCGAAGACTTCATTCTTGGAGTAGAAGAGGACACTTCATCCCTGACTCCAGTGGAGTTCAGATGAGAAGAAAATGATATGAACTGCTTTAGTCATTATCAGATTTGGACTGAGTCACTTAAAAATTTAACTGAATGAAACCCCACCTACTTGGTCAGGTTGTTGTCAAAACAAGTCTTATTTATGGGCACTCATGCTAAATGAATGTGGAAATTGTAGGTAAGTGAGCTAATCCTCACACCAAGAATCAATACGTTCAAATTAAAATTTTAATATATTTTTATTCCTGAGATCCCAGCAGGATTTCTGGGCGCTAACACTGGCCCCGGCCTCTGTGTTCTCTGTTCACAGTTTAATTTTGCGTAAGTGTAAATCTTATTTGGTAGAATGGAATAGCCAGGTTTTTTTTTTTTTTTTTTTTAATAAAGCAGAAAACACATAACCGCCCCATTGGTGTTGTTACTTAAAACCTACAGTTTTTAGTTCATATGTACCAATATTATAAAGATCCAAAGTAAGTACTATGGAATGTAGAAAATAATGTACCACTTGATATTGGTACTTGCCTTGAGACTGACGTAGTATTACTAAAAATCTGTTTATAGTTTGACCAAATTTGAACATTCATGTTTATTTGAAAAACCAGAAATAAAAGATACCATACACCAAGCTGCACCTAATGATGAAAAACTTTATTCTGCATCAAGGTATCTGGAAAATGAAGCTGCATTTGGGGCACATTACAGATGAGGAATGATCCATGTGCGGTGAGTACAAAACTCAATTACAGAATTAGATACTCCATTACCATTGCTTAATTAAAAGTAAAACATGATTTACCACACTAAAAGGCTAGAAGTGAAATATGACAAAATTTTAAACCAGCAGATATAAATGCAGCACCTGTGTGTGTGTGTACACACACAACAACAACAAATATGGGAAAAATCAAACACTGAGGAAGAGCTCTGGCCTAACCACATCTCACCTGAAATCCAACCAGAAAGCCAGTCTGATTTTTAATTTTTGCAATTAATTGTATGAAAACATAATGCTATATGAATCGTGTGACAAAGGGCACTTTTTGGCTAAAACTACAAAATAAACTGGTTTTCTGGAAACATTTAGGAAAACATTTCAAGTCATTTTCAAAATGTCTAATTGTTAACAGTGATCTTCAGAAAAACTTACCTAGTTCGTAGAAATTCATCTTGAAGTAGAAATGAGGCCATTATTTTCTAAAGGGTTATATATATATGCCCTTCAGATCAGTGTAATATAATGACTGATCATTTACTGAACAAAAGCAACACAATTCTGAGAGCAGAATGGCCTTGGAGACCACCCACACCCACATAATTGTACATACCGGGTTTTGCCATCAAGTTAAGGAATGGGCACGTGAGTTCAGTATCAAATATCAAAGGTCAAATGTGTCCTCATAGTCAAATTATATTTCAAAAAGATTTCTGGTATCCTCCACTTTCTGACTTATTTTCAAATAAGTGGTTGCAGAGAACACAGAAATCCTGCTGTATTGTACATAATATTTTAGGTGGCCTTACATTTTTCTTGATTTATCAGTTTAAAAATCCTCGAAATAGCTTAGCGAGGCTCATGACAGTGCCCGGCCCACGGAGATGGAGCCTGTGCATTGCCTTTAAACACTGTCACACCATCTGAGTGCCCCATTGGTCTTCACAAAGCAATCCTTTTGGGGCCTGCTCCAACCCTAGACCAACTGGTCTGACATGTGTTGGCAAACTAAGCACCCCGTAAGACAAGCTGAAACTTGCTTTTTGCCAGTCAGTTCATGGTCCACGGGCTGCATCTCTTGACTGACACGCTTCCTTTAGGTAGTGATAGTCTAAAGCACAAAGCATTTTTCTGCATTTAATCACAGAGCCAAACAAATAACCGGAGTCTCCTGAAGCCATTTAAACTAGCCGTTCCAAAACCTCCTGCAACCACTTTGCTCTGTTAGTACCATCAAAAACGTTCCCTACCATAAACGAAAAATTAAATGGTATTGCTGCTCTCCAAATATAGGCACTGCTCCATATCACTGAACGTTTATTGGATTTTCCAACTAATGATGTCAAAAGCCTCAAAAAAACCTGAAATTAATTTTCCAGCTTTACTGTCACCAGTCAGGAGTAAAATTTTTCTCAGTTATTTTCCTGTCAGCTAATTAAATTTTAAGTTTTTTTTTTAAAAAACTGTTGGGCTTTTTATCTTTATAAAGTATATAAAATTCTCCAAAAACAAAAACAATTTTGTTTCCATTGCATCACTGAATACCTGAGGTAGTTGAGTAAAAATGCACGTTTAATACCCCTGCCAACACCATTCAGCACTTCCCTTAGGTTATTCGTGTTAGTGTTAGGTACAAATACAACAGAGAACGGTTTTTCTATGCTAATAGCTTAACACTTAAGTTCCCGTAATAACTCTATTCTGATCCAATTTTAACAATTGGATTTGGGAGCAATCTATATTTTATGAATTTAGTGAATGCATCATTAAGCCAATTTCTGGCACCAGGGGGTATATTAAGAAAAATTAGAATATTTGTTACACTGAGAATACAACAAAAGGGAAGTGCAGAGCTCCTCTCTTTCCCTCCCTCCCCCCTTATTTTTTTTTATTTTTTATTTATTTTTTTTAAAGCTGGGTGTCATACATTTCAGAGAGCATAAAGTATACATTCTCACAGAGACAGGAGTTCAAAAGTTGCCTGGTCCTCAGAAACAACTGGCTAGGTAAAAACTTGTGCATGTAATTCTGGATATTAGGGGTTCAGCGCCCGTCTGTTGGTTAAGCAATCTGTCTTTGGTTTGGCATCTGCCTCTGTGGTGGGCTGTTTCCTGAGCCTTTATTTCCGTCTTGACTGAGGTGGTCCACTTTGCAGAGCTTTCTGCTGTTGATGCTGCTTTACCTGAGTCAAAATTTCCTGAATTTTTCTCTGGGCAACCTGCGAAAGGAGAAAGCTTTGAAATTTCTACCCGATCAAAAGTTACTAAAATTTATTTTACCCTTCCGTTTCAACTTCAGATTTGTAGATTAAAGATCCGCACTAGTTTAGTTTGCTAGTAGAGTCTCTGAAATCACCTGCTAAAAAGGGATTGGCATGTTTAGCACCAAACGACTTTAAATATTTATATGTGGTGAGGGCACACCCAGGGGGAAGACTGCTTCCGTTTGTCAAAGAAGCAAAACAGCTTGTTTTATCACATGAGAACCCACTTGCCTGGCAAGCATAGAAGTGACCAGTTATCTTGACAACTACTTGGTCATTCTCATCAGGTGTCTGGTCACGAGGGACAACTACTTCTGCACTTGACAAATTCTGGAGCTCATTCACCTGGAAAAGATAAATACAGATCTTATTAAATCAAGGTTATTAAAAAAAAAATTACCATTTGCTGAGCACTTACTATGTGCCAAACACTAAACTGTGGCTTTACAAATATCTTCAAATCCACCAATAATTCTATCAGGTTATCAGTATTATGCCCATTTCAAGATGATTAAACTAAGACTTAGCCAAGGAAATTGACCAGTTAAACAAGTGAATGGCAGAACCAGATTCAAACCCTGAAAGTCTGATTCCCAATTGTATACTCCCAATTACTTCAAAATTGTAAACAGCTTTGAAAACAACTTAGACGTTACAGGTGTTAAAGAGAAATTGGAAACCATTTGCTTGTTATAGTAATATGTAAAGGTAGATGAAATTAAAAAAAAAATTCTTTCCATAAAGCGTGCAAAAATAGCTGACGTTCCATCAGCTGAAAACTGCCAGCTGCCCCTACTACGTTAGCCCTCTCACACAGAGTGGTCTCAAGGGGCGTTACTTTTCACTAGTAGCGGATACCAACACTCAGGAAGGACAAAAGGCAGTCTTCTCCAAACCTTGGCCCAGATGATCCTGCTTTTTATTAATTAGCCAAAATTCAGGGACTTGGAACTCCTAAGTACCTTTCAACGCTTTCCCTTTCATACCACTGCACAGGTTTTGCTGAAGTACTTGCCGTTTTGCCTCCTTTTCCAATAACTCTGCCAGCAGCAAAGGATGGCACTCTGATATGAGCTTCAAGTTTCACCTCTTCTTTAGGACTAACAAAGTTTTCTTCTTTAATTTTTCCATAAATTCTTCCCTGAGCCTACAGATGAGAACATATCCTATCAGTGTCATTCATGTAGGAAAAAAGATCTATTAACTTTAAAGACGGCTCATATCCAGTGGAATAGCCCCCTTTGCAGGGACACATCTGCATTTAATAGACTGTTGCAGATGGCCTAAGAGGCAAACTTAGGAAGGTTCACATTAACAACCACGCACCACAGAGGTGGCAACTGAATGAATAAAGAATATGGTTTATTCTTTGAACAAAAAGAGTTAAAGGCAATTAGTAGCCAGCCTACCTAGGGGCTCCTGGGTGGCTCAGTCAGTTGAGCATCCGACTTCAGCTCAGGTCATGATCTCACAGTCCAAGAGTTTTAAGCCCCACATTGGGCTCTGTGCTGACAGCTCAGAGCCTGGAGCCTGCTTCAGATTCTCTGTCTCCCTTTCTCTCTGCCCCTCTCCCCCGCCTCCCCCACCCGCCCTCAAAAAATAAACAAAAAATAAACATCAAAAAATAAAAAGTAGTCAGCCTAAGTAAAATTAAATATTTCTGTGGGCAAAAGGCCATTTGCCCTCCTATCCTACTAAACTAGCCAACTAAAAGGTAAAAAACTCTCCTACTGGAGGGAAGAAAGTAATTGCATATTACTTGAGTATAAGAGATGGGGAAAACTACAGAGTGAACTGTGGCAGGCTCATACCTGCTGAAAAGGTACTTTTTTATTTAAACACGTTTCTTTATCTTACCCATGTGGCTTCTACTTTTTGTAATAAGGCTACAAAATCAAGTTAACACACACTTCAGATATTTATAGTCAACACATCCTGATACCTACTGCATATCTAGACACTATACCTAAGAAACTTCTCCTATAGGGGTGTGTAGGTGGCTCAGTCGGTTAAGCATCCAATTCGTGATTTCGCTTCAGGTCATGGTCTCACAATTCATGAGATCAAGCCCCGTGTCAAGCGCTGTGCTGGCAGTGTGGAACTGCTTGGGAGTCTCCCTCGGCCCCTCCCCCGTTTGTGCACACAGGCTCTCTCAAAACATCAATAAATAAACCTCTAAAAAAACCACAAAACTCCTATTACGTACAACCATTAATTTGCTCTAGTATATACCAAAGGATAAAGAAGTCAGAGTTGGTTTAACTTGACAGGCCTCCAGGGCAAATCAAAACAAAAGTACCCAACACATTTTCACTTGTGCAGAAATGATAAACTCATTACAGGGTATTACAGAACAAACAAAATTCATCTTGGTACCCTATATTTCATTCATTCTCAAAAGTCTCAGGCCACAGATAATAGGTATTAACATAGTCGAACGACATAGGGATATATATGCCTCTTTCAAAACAAAAGTTTTTGAATTCTTAAGAAAAAATATGGGTTAGGAAGTTTACCACTCCTTAGATGTCTAAAATAATTCATTTGTAATTATCATTGATCACGTAAATGATATTTAAGCATTACAGTTTTTCTTAACTGTTCCATTTAAGATGACTATACCACATGGGCACTGAAGGATGGAAGGAAACAGACTGAATTTCCCAGCATACAATCATAGGAATAACAAGACAGTAGTCCCACTTATAAAGAAGTAACAGCTCAGCACCAAGAAGAAACATGCAAGAACTGATGTTTACATTTATCTTCTAAGATTTCCAACCAAAGGTGACTGATCCTGTAGGTTCAGGATACGAAGCAGTTTGTAACATTTGTGAGTTAGGACTTGAACTGCCTGGACCAGAAGGCTGGTGTGAGGGAGGAAATGTCTTCACCTGAGTTTGAGCCTAGCCAACTGCACCCACATCTCAAAGCACCTCCTTTTTCTTTCCTGTTCTTCCTGTAAAGGAAGTGAAAAAAGCTTTGGATTTTTTGTGGAAAATGTCCCACAGTGGAGAGGTCAAAGAAAGTGACAATTTAAAAGTGGGGAGTTAGGGAGAGGTAGACATTGTTACTAGCCACATGTTAGAAGTGAGGGAACTGGGGCGCCTGGGTGGCGCAGTCGGTTAAGGGTCTGACTTCAGCCAGGTCACGATCTCACGGTCCGTGAGTTCGAGCCCCGCGTCAGGCTCTGGGCTGATGGCTCAGAGCCTGGAGCCTGTTTCCGATTCTGTGTCTCCCTCTCTCTCTGCCCCTCCCCCGTTCATGCTCTGTCTCTCTCTGTCCCAAAAATAAATAAACGTTGGAAAAAAAAAAAAAAAAGTGAGGGAACTAAGGCTTAAGGTTGAAGAGTTGTCCTGTTACACAGCTACTACTAGGTGCTAAGAAGAAGACACGGGTTTGGGATAAAATAGTTACACTGTAATTCAGTAGTTGCTTTTACAACACTTGTACTAAGTTTTATGGGAGAAATCATGTACTCCAAAGTATTGAGAACTTGGCAGAGTCTTAGTCTGATTCACCCTGAGTGCTGAACATTACCACCAGCATATTCATATTATGTGATAGTCTAAGCACTGGATATATTCTCTACACTTTACAATCTTGTTTCAACCTTTTGGGTATTCTAATCCCTATTTTATAGCTGAGTAACTAGCCAGTCAAAGTTAACTTGCCCAAGGTCATACAAAGGCAAATAACAGAGCTGGGATTTGAACCAGCAGCCCAGCTGGCCAGTCTCTGCTCTTCATCAACTCTCAGTATGCAGGGAGGGGCATTCCAGCTGCAACGGCCCCAAACTCGAATAAATATGAGCAATGGTTCACATCAGGACAAATGCCACAAGAGTTCCTATGATTTTTACTTCTAAAACTGGAAGGATTAGAGTGATTTGTGGTTAGACTATGAACAAGGGCTCAGAATTAACCCAAGGGTAACAAGAAAAGGAGGGCATTTATAGTCAAAGTTAAGGTCTTTCAAGAACAAGATGAAAAATCTGGGGTAAGTTTTCTGAGGCATATTAACCACACAGGTTTGTAAATTTCAGTCTTAAAAGTCTCATCTTCATATAGTAACAAGGCACTGAGCACATTCTCCCTTGGCAGATAGTAAACCCAGCAACCATTATAAAATTCTCAAAATTAAAACAAAGTCTGGTTGATTTTTGAAAATTAAATTTGGGTTCTAAATCTTAGAAATTTCCATTGGGAGATTCCTTCTACTGAGTTTTAGATATATTTTTTTTTTTTAATTTTTTTTTTTTCAACGTTTATTTATTTTTGGGACAGAGAGAGACAGAGCATGAACGGGGGAGGGGCAGAGAGAGAGGGAGACACAGAATCGGAAACAGGCTCCAGGCTCTGAGCCATCAGCCCAGAGCCTGACGCGGGGCTCGAACCCACGGACCGCGAGATCGTGACCTGGCTGAAGTCGGACGCTTAACCGACTGCGCCACCCAGGCGCCCCAAGTTTTAGATATATTTAAGGGAGAAGCCAGGTTATGGAGTTCCTGAAAAGAAAGCATTAACATTCTTCGAATCCATTCATTTGTTACCTGTGCACACAGTAGAGCACATACCTTGAACTGAGCCTCTGGTGGCCCGGTGATAATCACCATCCTCACTTTAGCATCTGGTGCTTCAGCCGGAGCAATCTGTAACAGACACAACAAGGGGAAATGACACTTTCAGGTGACACTGTAATATCATTACACAAACCAGCCTGACATCTGTGTAGGACTTCTTGAAATGTAGAATTAAAGTCTTGTAGAAGAAAGTTGTAGAGCGGCAGTGATTAATCTGTGTTCACTGGTTATGGCTACTGTCGTCAACTATGCACTTAACACCATGACTAGCCTGGATATAAATGTCCGCCCCTAACCTCAGCTAATCCTCACTAGATAGTAATGAGGTGCTGCCTCTACAGAGGGCAAAGTGAAGGCTGAACAAGTTCAGTTACGTGGCCCATCCATAATCACATAGCTAATACAGCTGGAGAGAGCCGGATCTGTCTCCACTACCCATGTTCCTTCCTATACACTAAAACAGTGGTGCTCAAAATGTGGTCTTTGGCCCACATACATCAGAACCCCCAGGCTTTCAGTATTTGCAAGAAGTTGATATGTTCACAAATCTAAGACAATTGGTAAATCGCCCTGAAGAATATGCTCATTAGAGTAACATACGAAATTAACATTAATTTGGCAGAAGCAAAGTAAATGACTTTAATATTTTTGCAGAATATATGAAATCACACAAACAGCCTGAGCTGGGGGAAATGTTGAAAGGAGAGGAAATGAGCATTCTTCCAGAGTTCTAGGATTTGGGGACCCAGCTGGCAGGAGTTGTTCTAAAAGAAGAAAAATTTCCTAGGGGTGCTTGGTTGGCTCAGTCAGTTGAGCATGTGACTCTTGATTTTGGCTCAGGTCATGATCCCAGGGTCATGGGATCAATTTCTGCCATCAGGCTCTGCATTGAATTTGGAGCCTGCTTAAGATTCTCTCTCCCCCATCCCATACCCTCCCCTGCTCAATCTCTCAAATAAAAAAAAAAATTGCTAGACATAATGCTGTGCAAGAAGCAAATTCTTATTTATAAAATATATTATTACTACGTAAGAATAGGAAGCAAAGGATATGATAAAAACTACTTCAAATTCTACCACTCAATATGATCACTTTCAGTTACTTATACAAGCTACTAGACACTTTTCCACATATTTACAAAAAAAAAAAGGGTTTTTTTTTTTTTATACAATTTTTAAAAATTTTAGAGCATGCATACAAGCAGTTAAGGGGCAGAGAGAAAAGAGAGAGAATCCCAAGCAGGCTCCATGCTGTCAGCACAGAGCTGGATATGGGTTCAGACTCACCAAGTGTGAGGTCATGACCTGAGCCAAAATCTAGAGTTGGGTGCTTAATCAACTGAGCCACTCAGGTGCCCCAAGAATGTTTTTATTTTTAATGGAGTCAGTGCTTTCTCCCTCTCTCTGTCACCTTAGAGCCATGCTAATATTATTCCTACTTTATGAGGGACACTTACTAATTTTTAGTCTAAGTTCTTAGAATTATTCACAAGAAACCCCTGGAAAAAAGATAGCATTCTTTATCTTTCTGACTAGATTTCTTTTGTTAATACTGGTGATGGAGGCCTGGGCCTACTCTGAGAAGCCTGAAAACACATGCCCTTTGGCTCACCAGATCTATTTTTATCGACTTACAGAATAAGGTTTTTTTTTAACAATTTGGCAAATTTTGTCCATCACTGCACTATGTGCAGGGTAAGTTAGGAACAATCTTCATGTCCAACAAGTGAACACAAATAATTATATTAACAATACCAGATATATGTCTGTTACTTAACAGACATGAAGCCCAAAAGAGAAACAAGTGAATACGTAAATACTCAATTCTTGTTCATAAAATGTTCATTGCAGGTTTTCCCCCAAGCCAGTCTACTACGTTCTTTTTGCATGTGTCCAAGATTTCTTTTTAGTCAGGAAACTAGCAGGATAGTAAAGTTGGTTCACTACTTGATTGTTTACCATCTCTTTTCCTTTACCTGTTTATTTTGGCCCCATTTCCTGTTCATGTATTTTGTTATCTTTTGCTACAGGAGAGCACATGAGGACTATTACTGTGTTTTGCCTTTTTTATTCACTATTTAATTTACATCAGTAAAATTCATTCTTTTGTAACAAATGCATAGGCAGATCACCACATCAATCAAAATAAAAAGTTCCGTCATTCTCCACAATTCTTCCTGCTATCTCTTTGTATTCAAGCCTCTCTTCCACCTCTAATTCCTAGCAACCACTGACTTTTTCTTTATCCCAGTACTTCTGCCTTTTCCCATATTTTCATAAAAGTGGATCGGAGAGTATGTGGCCTTTTGAGTCTGATCCTTTCCCTTAGCACGTGTCATGAGATTCAACCATGTTCTTATTTTTCAATAGTTTGTTCTTAATATTTATTGTATAGCTTCACCACAGTTTATCCATTTGCCAGTTGATGAACATGTGCTTCTTCCCATTTTGGGACAGCTGGAAATAAACACGCTATTAACATCTGAGTGTAGCTTTGTTGTGTACTATATTCTTTTAAGTAAAATTTTTATAAAACATTAACAAAAAACACCCAAAAGATTGGTAATTTTCATGAAGGAAACTGTCACTGTATCCAACTTTTATCAACTTGTGCATTCCCTAAAACACAATGACCTGTACGTCTGATATTATACTATTTCTCAGCATATCAAAACACAGACTCTTCAGAGCACACAATTATCTATTTGGTGGATACCATTAGTTGTTCCCTGATAATTGTTATCCCACTTTCCGTAACAATAAAACATTTAGGTAAACATACATGGACTGCATTTCCCTTTGGCAGCTAGTAAGAAGCCTTTATAAGAGAAGGGGTCTTAATGTTGTCTTCTCCAGCTGGCTGGACCACAGACTGATTGGGAGAGCAGTGAATAGTGTCATCTGTGAGCTTGAGGGACCAAGGCCCTGCCTAGGGATGATCAGCTGGAAGCAATCTAGGTGGAGGACTTGGTGGGGCAAAACCACCATTATCAGTCCTGGATTACTCAACTCCTATTTTTCCTGGAGACAAAATTCGACTTACTATGTTGAAGCTACTATCGTTTGCGGTTTTGTGTCACACCCTACGTGTAACCCCAGCATACACTGCAATATTTAATTCCAATTATGAAGTGGCAGGACAACTCGTGTTTCTGTAACTTACTGTCATTAAGGCACTAAGAGCCACAGCTGGCAAAAGGGTACCTTAATAGAAGCTCCTGCAAAGCGAGAAAGCTGCTTGATGTGCTGCCCCTGCTTGCCGATAATGGCGCCGACAGACAGGGCTGGGATAAACAGGTGAACAGTCTCCGTTTCTGATTGCTGTTGGAAAGACAGGACATACATGTGAATTGGGTACAAGTCAGGCTATTATCATTGGCATAGGGATGGGGTGTTCTCATACAGTAGAAATATTAGGAAGTTGGCAAGAGTTTACCTAAAGTTGAGAAGATCTCCTGTCCAACCTGAAAGCACTCAATTTAAAAGGTCACTTTACACTATTTGCCTCAACTTTAGAATGTCACTGGTGTACAGATTTAAAAGATACGTAAATGTTGTAAAGTTTAGGTTCTTGACAAGTAAATGAAATTCTGGGCTACACATCAACAAACAACTGTATCCAAGGACACCTATTCTACACCTTATCCATGTAGGTTTTGCTTCGTAAACACACACCTATTCTCAAAGGGAACAACTCCTGAGTGTCATTACATAGGACTAAATAGTGTAAAACCTTACCACTACCATTCAGTATGCACCACACCCAAGCAGAGTACAGGACTAGAAGAAAACTTTATCACTTTAATAGTAAACTGCCCTAAGATTCTCTCCCATATAATTCTTTATTCCTTTTATCTCTGCCCTTCCTTTGCCATTTACACATGGACAAATTGGAAAATCTTTTCTTAAAGATTTGTTTCGAGATAGAGTGTGCAGAGGAGGGGCAGAGAGAGAGGGGAGAGACAATCCTAAACAGGCTCTGCATGACCAGTGTAGAGCCTGACACGGGGCTTGAACCTATAAACCATGAGATCATGATCTGAGCCAAAACCAAGAGTCAGTTGTTCAACTGCATGAGTCACCCTGATGCCCCAGAAAACATTTTGAAGGCTACCTCCTGAAAGATTTTTCAAAAATGGATTTTAACTTCCCCCTTCAAGCCAACTATGTCCTTCCTGAGTTGTCTCCCTTCAAATGGTCATTCTTGTAAGGTTAAAGGACACACTCAAGAGACACAGTGGACTGGGTTCCAAAAAAATAGACTAATCCAAAATTCAGTGATGTTATGGTGAGCTACAGGTTCTAAGATGCCAGAAGCAGTGCACATGTTCACACATTAATACTTACTTTCTAACAACATTAAGAAAACATGCTTCCAGGGAGAATTCTAAGAAATTCATTCCAAGAAATGTTTTTTTAAATATTTTATTTTCTAACACTTAAGAGCAATTTTCAGTTACAGAAAAATTGACAAGCAGGTATAGGTTTCCTACATATGCCAAGAAATATTTTTTATTTATTTATTTATTTGAAGAGAGTGAGAGAGAGCACAAGCAGGAGAGAGGGAGACAGAGAATCCCTGGTAAGGGAAAACAGCTCAATGTGGGGCTCGATCTCATGAACCATGAGATCTTCACCTGAGCCAAAATCAAGAAGCAAACATTTTTATCTGCCTGAGCCACCCAGCTGCCCCTATGCCAAAAATTATTTTAAGATGATACACAACTTAATAAACCAAGTAAAATTTAATACGCATTTAAAAAAAATACAGCTAAGCTAAGATTTACAGAGATATTAGAAGATATATTGCAATAAGAAATGTACACATTAACTACTTGGTAAGAAACACTTCACAGAATTCTGTCTTAAGTCTTCCATTCCTATTATGTAGTATACTATAGATTCCATTGTCCAGTACTCAAGTTGGTCCCTCAGTACTGTCATATGTTCACATTCGGCCATAAAACAGCTTCCATCTAATTTCTAATTTACAAAACTCTTCCCAAATTGGTAAAAAGTCTCAAACATGCCAAAGTTTTGCTTTCAAGCATCCCAGGAACTAGGAAAATCTTTAGAATGTTCAGTTTCTGAAAATCTTAGTCAAAGAAAACAGCAGTACTGGGCTTATTCATTTTTACTGTAAGTGGATACAGATTTTGTGCTATGTAATATTGGTCCACCAGATGACCATCACTCTCACAACACAAAAATTACCAGTAGCATTATCAACTCCATCTTCTCCCTATTAAGCCCAGAGTGCAAGCAGCAAGAATGGAGCACTCAGTACCTTGGGTCTATGGGGAGATAACAATGATCAACAGCAGAAACACATATGGATGCATCAGCCATGCTACTTGGCCCTCAATACGCACTTACCAGAATGCTGTTCCACAGGACAGTTTACTCACATTATTTGGTAGGAATTTTTTTTTTTAGAAGTCTTTATAGTTTCCTTCCTCCAAAGCAAAAAATTTTTATTTTTTATTAAAAAAAATTTTTTTTCATGTTTGTTTTTGAGAGAGAGAGAGAGAGAGAGAGAGAGAGTAGGAGAGGGGCAGATAGAGAGAGGGAGACACAGACTCTGAAGCAGGCTGCAGGCTCCGAGCTGTCAGCACAGAACCCGATGCAGGACTTGAACTCACAAACTGTGAGATCATGACCTGAGCCGAAGTCAGACCCTTAACTGACTGAGCCACCCAGGTGCCCCAAGAAGCAAAGATTTTTTAAACACTAAATTAGTAGGGGCGCCTGGGTGGCTCAGTCAGTTAAGTGTCGAATGCTTGGTCTCGGCTCAGGTCATGATCTCACGGTTGGTGAGTTCAAGCCCTGACTTGGGCTCTGTGCTGACAGTCCAGAGCCTACTTGGGATTCATTCTCTCTCCCTCTCTCTGCCCCTTCCCTATCCACCACTTGCACATGTGTACACACATGCTCTCTCTCAAACTTAAAAATAAAACTATTAAAAAATAATAATAAATTAGTAAACAGTTAACAGTCTGGAAATAACAAAAAGGCCAGACTGGTTCTTTAAAGGAAAACCTTTGCCTATTTACCAGTTAAACTGAAATGAGAAAAAGGAAATATTAGGTAAGATAAAAAGATAAAAGGTCATTAAATCAGAAAATGTAAAAAACTTTTCTTCAAGTTATCAATCAGGAAAATTTACACTGACCCAAATAACTGTTACCTCTACGATCAACTCAATACCCAATGAAGTGCCATGCCCAAAAAGTTCAATTCTTTCAAGCAGAACTCTCTGGAACAATGACTTAAACCCAGTGGAAAAGATGACGTGGAAAACGAGGTAAGGACAGGCAGACCCGTTTCATGGGGAGGAAATAGATTTAATGAACCAAAAATAGTAAATAAATGGGAGCATCCTACAAATAATGTGTTCTAGTTTGTTTTTTTACCATAGAGATACACTTTGCATCTCCTCCTCCCACGTCATTCAGATGCCCCTCCCTCACCTATTAGTAGGGCATTCCTCCAGCTAGACTCGACTACTGATTTATCTTGGTGCATGCGTTCGTGTGTACTTAATTTTCAACTAATTCATGTGATGGTGCAATCAAATCTTTGTACAAAAAGTTGTGCCCTTGTATACCTCTGTTACATAAACTCTTACAGGTAAAATTTAGCTGGAGACAAAGGGTCTGAACATTTAAAATTGATAATTATCAAGTTATACACAAAGTTTCCCACTCAGAATGGTGGGATTCCAGTTAAGCCATTCATGTAACATCTGAGTGCTACCTTTGTGTTTAACATGGTGGGAGATGTGTAGAAAGCCTGCAAAACTTCAGATTTAAGAAGGTATGATCAGGGAGTGTCAAGAGTTTGTGTTTCCTCTGTGAAAGGTACATTACCTCATCTACACCTCACAACCCATCCGACTAACATAAACTAACAACATTCCCATTTCTAAAAACATTTTTGAATGTTTATTTTTGAGAGAGAGACATACAGACAGAGTAGGAGTTGGGTAGGGGCAGAGAGAGAGGGAAGATACAGAATCTGAAGCAGGCTCCAGACTCTGAGCTGTCAGCACAGAGCCCCAAGCAGGGATCAAACTCATGAACCGCAAGATCATAACCTGAGCCGAAGTCGAACACTTAACCAACTGAACCACCCAGGTACCCCAACATTTGCCTTTTAAAGATGAGAAAACTGAGCCAGAGAGATGCACACAGTAATATACTGACTGGTATTGTAACCAGCATTCAAACCTGGGCTTCTCTAGCTCTTGAGCCATATTTATTCTTTTAAAATGGAGGGCAGGGGGGTCCTTGGTGGCTCAGTTTAGAGTCTGACTCCATTTTGGCTCAGGTCATGATCTCATAATCATGAGATAAAATCCTGCGTCAGGATCTGTACTGAGCATGGAGCCTCTTGAGATTCTTTCTCTCTCTCTGCCCCTCTCCCCACTTGTGCTCTCTTAAAAAAAAAAAAGAAAGAAAGAAAAAGAAGAAAAATTAAAGGACATAACTCTACTTCCAGCAGGTATAGGATGTGCTTTGTAAGTGACTCTTAAGAAAAACAGCCCAACAGAACTTTCATTTGAGGAGGTACTGCCTTATCACTCTTCCATCTGCCTTGGTATGATTTCCTGAGTCAAAACAAATTTCTTATGTTGGCAAAAGCTTAAACCTGTGATCATCAATGTGTAAAAAATGGCATCAAAGATAGCCCCTTGATATGACTATTGTTAATTCTCTATTGCACATTTGAAAGTTGCACCGAGAGATCTTAAAAGTTCTTATCACGAGGAAAAAAAGAATTATGGTAAAGGCTGTTGACTTACTGTGGTGATCATTGTGCAATATATACAAATATCCAATCATTGTGCCCCTGAAACCACAGTTATACGTCAATTATACCGCAATAAAATTTCTTTCAAAAAACCTAATGATTAAGTAGTTTAATTGAATCACCCACCAAAAAAAAAAAAAAAAAAAAAAAAAAAAAAAAAAAAAAAAGATGCTCCAAGAGTACAAGCATCTGAAAGCATCAGGTCTGTTGTGCACTGCACACACCCATCTTATGCCTGTTTAAAATACTTTATAACTTAGAGTTTCGATGTTTGTTTCCACTGTTGAGAATAAAATAACCACATCTCCCAGAAGTTCTCAAGAAAAAATTCAAAATTCCTTCATCTTTATCTGTTATTTTGTTGCAGCTGAAGGTGATACTTTCAAGATCTGCAGAAAGTTTGGTTTCTCATTTTTTCACTAATTTATATAATACTGTAATCAAATCTCTAACATAAATCTTGTGCCCCTGTACAAATACTTCTAAGATTTTATGTCATGGAAGCGATG